AAGTAAGTAAGTTAGTAAGTAAGTAAGTAAGTAAGTAAGTAAGTAAGTATGTATATGTATGTACATAAGTAAGTAAGTAAGTAAGTAAGTAAGTAAGTAAGTAAGTAAGTAAGTAAGTAAGTAAGTAAGTACGTAAGTAAGTAAGTATGTATATGTATGTACATAAGTAAGTAAGTAAGTAAGTAAGTAAGTAAATAAGTAAGTAAGTGAGTAAGTAAGTAAGTAAGTACGTAAGTAAGTAAGTATGTATATGTATGTACATAAGTAAGTAAGTAAGTAAGTAAGTAAGTAAGTATGTATATGTATGTACATAAGTAAGTAAGTAAGTAAGTAAGTAAGTAAGTATGTATATGTATGTAAATAAGTAAGTAAGTAAGTAAGTAAGTAAGTAAGTAAGTAAATAAGTAAGTAAGTAAGTAAGTAAGTAAGTAAGTACGTAAACTGCACAGAAATCTTGACCAGAGTGCCAAATTGGCTGTAGGGCTGGCCCTGCTCTCTTGCCTTGAACATGTTAAACATACAAAACCTTTTACTCAGAGAATTATACAAGTACCTGTTGTTTAAAACACAATTTGCATGTATTACATCTTTCCATTTTTATTTGAGAGTTCGGGTAACAGTTTTTATCCTGCTGACTGCTTTATTTATTCAACTTCCTGGGGCACACAATATGTTTTTTTTTTTCTTTTATTGAGTTGACTTACACATGCTGCATTAKTGAGCACATATTTTATTGTTGCTTCTGCTGGGATTGTCAATCTGTTTCCACTGACAGGAACAATACAGAAGGTTGTGTCTTCAAAGATGCATGATGCAGTTTGTAGACTTCTCAACTCAGATTATCAATCTTTAAAGGTAATTGGAAACCAAAGAATAAAACATGAATTGTTAATTTTTGAACTATCATGAAGTTTTAAAGAGTTTTGCCAAATACATTGACATGCATTTCTGAAAGGCAGACACGCACTCAGTGTTAACAAAGCATTTGGCTGAATCTGCCAAAATCCTGTAGAAGCTTGAGTCACAAGCTTAACTTGGACAAGCATGTTGTAACCTGAAAAGTGCATCAAAGAGAAGCTATCTACATTTAAAAGTGAATTAACAACTAGAGTACCTTGAAGCTTCTCAGAGTGACACCTGACACCTGTGAACAAGTTGAGAGACAAATAAAAATATAAAAACAACATTTTTGATCTTTATTAATGAACACTGGATATGAACTGGAAGTCTAACAACCATGTTTAAGAACTAGTCATTTCTCCAAAACTTTGTGTCTCTGCCAGTTTGTGACTTTTCGCTTGACCTGACTGAGACTTTAAGTTGTAAACATTCAGTTGTAAATCTGTGCTGGGAACATCCCTCCTACTATAGCTGCTCAAATATGATGTGGAGCTGAACCCTCAGACAGAGTGAATAGCTGCTAAAGCCAGAGGCGACTTTTCAGAAAGCAATTAAGTGATGTTATCTTTCTGCTAGTCATCCTCCCCTCCTACAGACAGACAGAGGGATGTGGGGGCAGAAGAACGAACGGTCAGTCAGTCCACAGTGGCCACCACTTAGCTGGTGAATGGTCAGCATGTGATGAAGATGGACGGAAGGAGTGAAGAAAGAGGAGTGGAATGAGGAGGAAGAGTGGGAGGAAGACAGTTAAGCAGTGTTAGATTACATTGTTAGCGTCTTGAGTTTGAGTGTTTCACTTCCTTCTATGTGTCCACGGCTGGAATTACTCTTCAAATGTCTGTGCAGAAGTTTGTTTTTCAGTCACATGAAAACCACATTTTCACTTAGAGTTGATTTTGAAAGACAAGATCAAAAACATTCAAATCCATTGCAGGTTTTCTGCAAATACTTGTTTATTAAGCTCATTGATTAT